AATAGGGGGGAAATGTACCATGCAACCAGTAACAAGAGGGAAGTTTTAAATCCTTAGATTTAGGGAGCATACACACAAAGATATTGTGAAACTTCAGAACAAAAAAAGGCAGAACAAGATCTCAACGGCAACCAGAAAGAAATAAAATTAGCTATAAGGACATTTCTATTCATAGCAGCCTTCTTGGTTTTTTGTTTGTTTGTTTTGTTTTTGTTTTGAGATAGGGTCTCACTGTGTAGTTGAGACTGACCTGAAACTCACTATGTAGCCCAGGCTGGTCTCAAACTCACAGCAATCCTCCTGCCTCAGCCTCCCCAGTGCTGGGATTACAAGCGTGCACCACCACACCTAGCTATAGCACCTTCTTAATAGCAACAATAAAAGAAAGATGACAATGAAATATCTTTAAAATATTGAAAGAAGATAAATGTTGACTTAGAATTTCCCCAGTAAGCTAAGATATATCAAACAATGAGGGTAAAATATATCTTTGTTAGAGCTGGCTACTAACATTTACTGAAAAACCTAAGAATATACTTAAGGAGGAAGAATGACTATAAGAAGCTATAGTGAAGGAGTGAAAGATAATGATGTGAGCATCAATCAAGTAATAACAGTAAATAGTAGCAACAATAATAAAGACAAACCCAGGAGATAAAAAGATAAAACTAAAATACTGGGTTCAGCACATAAAAGAAGGGAAGAGGTCATCAAAATTAAAACATTCTAACATCACTTAAGTATTTGAAGTGATGAATATGTTAATAGTTTAATGTAATTATATTCATTCATCATAACATCACTTTATATACCATATATATATATATATAATTTGTCAATTTGTAATAAAGATTAACAATTTTTTTTATACTGGGGATCAAACTTGGGACCTTGCCTTTATGAGTCAGGCAGCGGAACCACTGAGCTAAATCCCTGGCCCAAGATTAACAATTTTTTAAATGCTGAAAGAGATCAAAGAAAGAACTAAAGCCAGTTATGGTGGTACACAGTTGCAATCCCAGCACTCTGGAGTGGCAGAGGCAGGAGGCTTGCAAGTTTAAATTGAGCCAGGCAACTCGGTGACTTAGCAAGACCCTGTCTAAAAATAAAAAATGAAAAGGACTGAGGATGCAGCTCAGGGCAAAGGCCTTGGATTCAATCCCCAGTACTACAAAAAAGAAGGAAGGAAGGGAGGGAGGGATGGATACTGTTCATGACAATAATATTTAAGATTGTCAGGAACACAATGCTCCATTAATTTATCTACAAATTTAATGCAGTCCTTTCAAATTCCCAACTATATTTGAAGCTTCCTAACAAGCATCTTCAAAATCTATATTTATATGCAAAGGAAACATAAAATAATCCTTTAAAAATGTAACAAAAGTCTATTATTTAAACTTACTGAAATTGTTTTTGTTTTGTTTTGTTTGTGACAGGGTCTCACTATAAAGTTCAGACTGACCTGGAATTCACGGTGTAGCCCAGGCTGGTCTTGAACTCACTGTGATCCTCCTGCCTCAACCTCCCGAGTGCTGGGATTATGGGCGTGTGCCACCTCACCCGATCACTGAATTGTTTTTACAAAGTTACACTAACCAAAGTAGGTGGTAATAGCGTAAGGATACTCATTTACACCAATGGAATAGATTTGAAGCTACATAAATAAACACATAAATTTACAGTAAATTCACATTGACAAAGGGACCAAAAATTTCAATAAAGGAAGAAAAGTCTTTTTAACAAACAATATTGGCAAAATTGAATACCTAAATGCAAAAGATGAGTTGGTCTCCTAACTCAAATTACAAAAGCTCAAAAAGCATCATTTACCTAAATAAAATCATAGGAAACATCGGCATACATTTTGTGATCTTGGATTTGACAAAAATAAAAATTTTCTTAAATTTCTCATCAAAACCACAATCAAGAATAGCAAATTTTATGAATTATCTCTGATAAAATTTAATGTAGTTAGGGGATGGGGACATAGCTCAGGAGTACAGTGCTTGTCTAGCACATATGACATGCTAGGCTTAATCCACACACACACAAACTTTGTAATGTGTCTGTCCTTCAAATAACAATTTGAAAATACAATCACTAAATAGGAAACACTGCCTTAGCTGACACCTTAATATTATATTTCTAGCATCTAGAATTATGAGTAAGTAGAGTGATGGAACCCAGGGCCTCCTGCAAGCTAGGCAACACACTATCACTAAACTAGGACCCTCAGCCCCAAAATAAATTTTTGATGCTTAAAGATAACAGGAAGAGAGTCAGAGTTGTCTCTAAATTAAAGTGTCCAAAGGTTTGTGTATAGCCCAGAGGGAAGGGAGAAAAAATAGTCAGCTTCAGACTGCTAAGTCAAGTAGGCACATTAAAATTATAAGAACTATAAAAGAATAAAATAGACTGTGGGATTTTCCAAGAAAAAGAATAAAGAAAAAGTCAATCCAAAAGGCGGCAGCAAAATAGAAAACCATCACCCAACGGAGAAGATCTACAGAGAGCACAAAATTAGGTAATCAAAATGAATCCAAACATATTAGCAATCACAATAAATATAAATGTACTAAACTCTCAAGGAATTATTAAATGAATATAAAATCAAATTTAGCTATAAGCTATTTATAAAAGACATACCTGAAACATAGCAGACAAAAAGCTTTAAAGTCAAAGGTAGAAAAAGATGTTCTAGGTAAATACTTAACAAAAAAAAATAGACTTATTAGAAAAACCATTACTAGAGATAACAGGGTGACATCTCTAGTACTTTAAATCTCTTTCCTCTTCTGCAAAGCAGAGATTCTAAGCCATTCCTCTAGGAGAAATATGTCAAGTGTATGTGATGTTAGATAATATGAAGTGGGAGGAGGAGAAAGGAAAAAGAGGAGGAGGAGAAGGAATAAGAAATGTGTCAGGGGGGTGGGGGTTAAATTAAAATTTTAGAACATTTGGGAAAAGACCTGAGAGAAATGAGAAAGTGATCCATGGAGGTGTCTGGGGAGGAGACAACCATGCAGGGGCAGCGGCAAATGCAAAGACCCCAAGGCTGGAGCACAGCTGCAGGGTCTGAGAGGCAGTGAGCTATCTCCTGTGACTGGAGTGGGGAGGCACAGTGCTAGGAGAACCCACAGGCAGCACCAGCTGGATCATGCAGGGCCTTATAAATTATAGCAAAATCCTTGATGGTTACTTTAAGCAAAGTGAAGATTTTGACCAGAAGAACAAATAAATACATTTTTAAATGATCCTGCTGGTTGCACTGACAGAGAATGAAGCAGAGCCAGGCCACATCAGGAGACCAACCGGTAGGCAGTGCAGGAGCCCAGACAAAAGGACATGTGAAGTGCACAACAGGTAGGTGGTAAAGGGTAGCTGGATCTTGGATATATTTTGAAGGTGGAACTAACTGGATTTGCTAAAGGATTAAACACGGGATGTGAGAAAGAAAAGAGACTGACTTCATGGGTTGGGAGTGGAGTTTGGTGGTAGAGTGTGCTCTCAGCAGATACAAGGACTTGAGTTCAATACCTAGCGCCAAAATTAACATAAAAAAATAAAAAGGAAACCCAATTTCAGGCCAGAGCTCCAGGAAGAATAAAATTGCCATTATCAGAAAAGGAGAAGACATGGATGGAACAGCAATTTGGGGAGGTGGGAAGGCCAACAGTAGTGTACTTTGGATATTGTAAGTCTGAGTTGTCCACTGGACAACCAAGAGAGATTTTGATACACCACACAATGTACATGCCAGCCCTCCGAGGGAGAATTTAGGCAGGAGTTATGCAGCTAAGATCACCAGGATCTTGGCAATATTCAAAGCCGTAAGCCTGGAGGAGATCACCTAAGGAGTGGGTGCAGAGAGCAGTTCAGGGACTGAGCACTGGAAAACTGGTGTTGGGATCCTGGGGAGTTGCGAGGCACCAAGACACACAAAAACAAACAGCTCGAGGGAGGGTCTAGGAGAATCTGAAGGGTGTGGTGGTGTCCTCAAAGCCAACTGAGAAAAGTATTGCAGGAAGGAGAGTCAGGAACCATTAGATGTTGCTGATGGGTCAAGTAACAAGAGGCCTGAGCATGAACTAGTGGGTTAAGCAACACAGGCTGGTCTGATGTGAAAAGACAGCTGTGCCGATCGGACTCCCTGATCAGGAAATGTAACGAAGGAATAAAGAGAGACTGCTGTGGGGAACAATGAGAGCCAATGTGGACAATCTTTTGCATGGCTTTTTGCATTGCTTTCCCCCCACCCCCAGCAAACAGTAAAAATAGCTAACCTTTACTGAGTGCTGGCTCTGGGCCAAAAATGCAATTCCGATGCCTATTTTTAAACAGGGACAGTGGGGCTCAAAAAAGTCAAGTAACTCGCCCCAGGTCACTCAGTTGATAAGCACCTGAGCTGGAATTCAAACCCATCTCCTGCATTTAATTACGAAACTGCTGCTGCCTATGATTAATTAAGAGGAAAGCATAGACTTAGTTATGGAGCTCCCATTTCTAAAATATGAACTTTGGGCCACATACCTTGTGTTTGAATACAGTTTTTCATTGAACTCTCACAAATCTCCGGAGAGAATAACTATCACTATTGTCATTTTAAAGACGAGAAAAGGGAGGTGTTGGAAAAAAGACAGAGGTGGTAGGGCAGAACCCAGGCCCCGATGCATGCAGCTTGGCCTCTGCCCAGTCTATGAAAATCTACCCTAGCTTTGCCTACCCTACCTTTGTTCCCAGTGGGCTAGGAACAGTCAGGCTTGGGGAGCCTCAGGGAAGTGGTGTTGCGCTTTCTTGGGATGCTTGGTGGGTTGCAAGGATGTGGTTGTCCGAGATGCCCCAGTAGGAGTCACTCCAGCAGTCCCTCGGCAGACTTCCCCAGAGCCAGACCTGAGCTCTCTCCATGACCATACCCTCTAATCTGAAGGCTTAGGCTGAGCATAGAACTAAATACCCGCTCCTGCACTTCCCTCCACATGGATTGGGCCTCTCCCTACCTGGCCGGTGGTGAGGGAACGGCTGTAGCCAGGGATGGAGCTCCGGGGATGGATCCGGGGTGGGACACAGCAGCTGAAAAGGTCAAAATACCAGAGTCAGAATCTGGCTGGGCTAGGAGGTGGTGGAGGGAGGATGACAGCAGGAGAGTCTCTGACCAGGGTCTGTTCTCCAAAATCCTCCAAAGGTATCTTCCAGGAGACTCTCGCTAAAGAGACTCAACCAAAGAGGTCTGAAACAGGGACTGTGACCAGGGAGGTCTCATTTATAGGAGGCAGAGGGAAATACCCCAGTTAGATTCTAAGCAGGGCTACCCCCACCGGAACCCACTCTGCACACACCTCCTGCACGCACCCCAGCATCAGCTTCCTGGCTCCCACCCAGCCTTCCCTGTCCTTACTTGATCCGGGCTGTGTCCACGCTGGAGGAGCGGCGGGTGGCGAAGCGCCGGGCAAGTGCTTTGGGAGATGTCTTGGGGCTGCCATCTGAGTCTCCACTCTCCTCATCCCCCATGGCTTTGATATAGCTGCCGCTCCGCATCCTGCGACAGGGGATCTCCCCATCCTTGCCACCCGTGGGGTAACCCCCCCAGTCATCTTGCGGCACCTGCAGAGACAAGGGCCTCTGTCTCTCAGACACATCTGTGGTCAATCTCGAGGCCAGGCTCCAACAGGGGGCGCTCTGCCCTCCTGGGGCAGACCATGTGAGGGGCATCCAGAGGAGAAATGGGAAGCTAGGTCACAGGCTGTCCCTTTCCTTAAGGAAGATAGATGCTGCATCATGCTCCAGGGACTTTCTGCTGCTTACCTGAGCTCCACTGGTGTTGGGGTGTGACACGCCGGGTGTCAGGTGTGGAGTTCAGGTTGAAGATTACAGGCTTAAGTGACCTATATTAATCCTATCCCCACTGTAAGGCACCACCTGCCATCAGTCACCTGCCACCCCTCCTAACCAGCTTACATTCCCCAGTCTCTGCTCTTGCCCACCCTGCCCACCAGGCAAGGAAGCACAGAGGGTGTTATTCAGGGAGGGCTCAGATTTGTGTTCTGGGAGAGCTCTCAACAGCCCTGACAGAGAGGCTCAGGAGTAGAGGGCCAGGAGCACTAGAAGAGCTCAAGTGGCGGGAGGCAAACCAGTTAGGAGCCTAAGGCCGTGATCCAGGCAAGAGATGATGAGGCCTAAATGAAGACAACGACAATGAGGGGAAAGAGAAGGAAATGGAGACGGGAGGTGTTAAGGAGCAACAGTGAGCCTGGTTAGCCGCTGGGAAAGAGGAGCAGAGGATGACTGGAGACTGATGGCTGAGGACCTAGAGGGTGGTGCTGCCGCTCACTGAGCCACAGAATCTGTAGAAACAGGTTGGAGGACAGGTGACAGTGTTGGCACTGAGCACCTCAAATTTGGCATACGACTGTTGAGCAGGTGGTTGGATGTCTGGTTCTGGAGTTCAGAGGGGAGATCAGGACTGGAGGCAGACATCTGGAAGTCAAGGGTGGCAGTCATGGATACACAGGCATGAAGGAGACAGCACAGAGGAAAGAGGAAGAGAAAGAGAGGAGATATCCACTGACATTTCAAAGGAGACTGGAGAGAAAGGAAGAAGAGCCTGTGAAGTCACCTGAGAAGAAGTGGGTAGAGGGGTAGGAGGGAAGTCAGGAGAATGCCATGTCACAGAAACAGAAGACACTTCAAGAATAAAAGTAGTTGATTTTGTCAAATGCCACAGTGTGTTCAGAGGTTAGTAACTCAGGCTTGGGAGTTGGAAGAAATATGTGCAAATTCTGGTGCCATCGCTTGCTACCAAGTAAATGAGCAAAGTGGATTAACCTCTAAGCATCAGTTTTCTTGCATGTGAATTGTAATAGTAATTATGCCTACAGTAGAAGATGGGTAGGAAAGCCATAGAAAAATAAGCCATAGAAAGTGCGCAACAAATGTTAACTATTAGTATAGACATGAAAAGTACCTTTCAGGGATATCTCTCCAGAGACCACTGATGACGACCACTGCCAAGGCACTTCAGAGGACAAGGGCTGTGGTGAGGGGGACAAGTGACAAAGGGACAAAGAGGAGTCTATGCTCTAGGGACTAGGAGAGGAAGGGAAGAGAGGAGGCAGAAGGGGAGCCTAGGCTGAGATTTTTTTTTTTTTATTAGGATGAAAATGATTTGAGCAGTTTTCAGGACGACAGAAAGAGCCAGTAGCGATATGCTTTAAACACGGGAACAGGTGAGGGATGGAGAGGCTCTGAGAAGATGGGCTTGAGCCCTGGTGGAAGGATCAGCCTGGGCTGGTCCTGGTTTTTCCTCAGAGAAGTCCAAGATGGCCACCCATACTGCAGAGAATTAGGCTAAGAGAAGGCACGCAGAGAGGGCTGGGGAAGGCAGTGAATAGCTAAAATACTTGTAAACATAGGACAAGGATAAGGCTCTGGCAGGGAATAAAACTGAGACAGAATGGGGCTAAAGGGAGAGGGGAAGCTAGGTCAGGGGACAGGGATCAGTGTGAGAATGGGGAGTCAGGGAAGGAGCCCTCAAGGGGACCAGGGCAAAGCAAGGGGCCAGGGCTCCATCAAAAGATGGGCACATAGGAATGAGATGATGCTCCATAAAGGAACATGGGCTCAGAGTGGAGACGGAATCCGAAAGAGGTTTGTGGGAGGGCTGACGTCGAATGAGAGTGAACAGCTTAACAAAGACATTGGGAGTCCAACAAAGACACTTGATCTCATGGGACCAGCCTCTCCTTCTTTTGTGCCAAGAGAACAGCACATTTTCTGGAAGGTTCCTAAATCCCCTTGGTTCTCCCTCAAACGGGCTCAGACTTTCCAGTCGTAAAATGCCTAAAACCCCAGGCCCCGAGGATCATTCCTCTTCTCATACCCAACAGAGAGGAGCAGCAGGCCTGCCAGCAGGGGGGACAGCCAGGGCATGCTCTGCCACATTGCAGGGCTCCCACTCCGTAGCCACTGCGGAGCTCTTCACTCCTCTGCAGGAGACTGTGAGGCGCATGTTAAAAAGGAAGCCCCCAGGGAGGTCAAGCCAGTTCTGGAGAAGAAGCGAGGAGGAGCAGAACAGTGGCAAGGCTCCAGGGATGTCAAGGGCTCAATTAATTCTCAGTTTAGAGCACCTTCCTACCCAGGGAGGGGACAACGCGAGGCCAGTGCACAAGCCTCGAATCTCCCAAGTCCTTCCCGCTTTCATTATGGCCCTATGTGCTACCCTGGGCTCTCATGAGTTCCCTAGAAGAGCCCTAACATCTGAATGACTTATAGGAAGGCCAGTGACATTCATAAGATACATTCAGGCTCATTTCTTCATCCCTCTGAACATGCTGTAATCTCTTCCTGGGACTTAACTCATTCTGCACTCAACTAACTCCAACTCCTCTCCCGAAGTTCAGCTCAGGAGCTGTGCCTTCTAGAAGCTGTTCCAAGCCACCCCTGGACACCACCACCAGGTGGGTGAGGGGCCTCTTCTGTGCCGCGTGTCCTAACGGTGCCCAGGATTCCTCTACAACATCCTATCACCTCACATTCCATCTCCTTCCTTATTTGTCCCCTCTACACTGTAAGTTCTCACAAGCAGCATCTGTGTCTTCACCTCTGTGTCACTGAATGAATGGGGAACGGAAGTTTGGAAGGTAACCCTAAACCTGTTTGATCTCTGGACCTTTTCTCCTTAAAGAACTCAAGAAATCAGTATGGGCTGGATGAGGCTTGGCAAAAGGCTCCAAAAGAGGAATTAAGAGGTCCTAGTCTACCATCAGAGGCCACAGAAGTGGTAAGACAGGATGGGAATAGCACAGGCCAGCTATCACTGGCGCCATCCACTCCCAGGAAGCCCTTCCTGGAGCTGTATCGGGGCTCAGACGTCGGTGTGTCCCCCAGCCTAGAAAAACCCATGAGACAGGCTCCCAAGGCCCCTCCACAGCCTCATGGCTATACTACCACAGGCAAGTGAAAATGACAAGCCCCAGCAGAGGAATGTTCTAGAATCTGACCTTCATATTCACATAACAGAACCACCCAGACTTGAGCAGAAAAGAGGTCTGGAGAATGCTTTGGGGCAAAACACCTGTTTTCCGTTGCCGACCGCTAAGCTCAAGGCCAGCTATGACCGGGGAGCAACACCCTATACTGTCCACTGCCTTCCCTCAACCTCAGTCTGCCTCCAACCTCATTAAGATAGAGGTCAGCACAGTTTGTCCAAAACAGTAGGTCACAAAGAAATCTTCCCGGAATGGATGTACATTGTCAGAATAGGGGGGCCCCCTTTGTTGCACAAATAGGGAAAGAAAGACCCCAAAGGGGCTCAGGGCGACACAGTAAGAGAAAGCCCCTCATTATGGGAACAGCTGACTCCCACCCAACCCCTTCCACTATTCTCTGGCGATAAGACTGATGAGGGCTAAGGAACCTGCCCATCCCCACATCCCCCAAGAAGGCCTCACCTGCAGATAGTGATAAGTCCTGGCTTTTGCCTTGGCCTCCGGACCCAGGAGCCCCTTGCCTGGCCCAGCCCCTGGGTATCCATCCCGGCCCTGACTGACCATCATGGTATGCCAGGCACTTCGCTTGACTGACTGTCCATCCAGCGACATGGACATGCCAGTGCAGGCAAGGCAGCGACCTTCTGACCCGCCTGAACGCCCCTTGAAGCTCAAGTCCCGGTAGGAACCATCTGGAGCCTCCAGGCAGAAGGGACCACCAGGCTCCCCAGAGGGGCGCCCACCCGCCAGGAAGCCGCTATCGCTGTCCAAGTTGTCATCGGAGCTCCACCAGCCTGTGGCCTTGGTCTGGTGCCGCCCATCCCCCTTGCGGTCCTTGCTCTTGCTCCTCTTGCCATGCCGGGACTGGTGGTGGTGGTGATGGTGGTGGTGATGGTGGTGGTGGGAGGTGTGGGGTCCTCCAGAGCCTGGGCCAGGGTAGCTATCACCCCCAGAGCCACCTCTTCCCTCAGCTTTAGGCCCATTATAATCCCGCTTCCCAGGCGCTTCCAGAGAGTGAGACTTGGCAAAGAGCTTCTGCACAGAGTGAACCAGGTGCCGGATGCGGCTGGGGCTCTCGCTGCGGGCCTCAGAGGCAGCGCCAGACCCAGGCCCTGGCCCGGGCCCAGCCCCTGCTGGACCTCGCTGGTATGGTAACGTGTGGAAGCCATCTTGTTGAACGGGCAACTGCTTTTCAAACTGATCCAAAAGTGTGGGAGGCAGGCGGGGGGCGCCCTTGCCCGCTGGGTGGCCCACACAGTCTTCACAGGTGTCAAAGGGGCCCTGGCCAGGGTACATCCTGGGGAAGGTGCTGCTACCCCCCCCAGCCCCAGCTGCCCCTGGTCCTCCCTCAGGGCCTACAGAAGGCCCCTCACTCAAGCTCAGGGGCCCTTCTGGAGAAAGGTGTCCCAGGCCAGCTCTTGGGGCACAGAAGCGGGGCTCGGTGGAGAAGGCCTCCCTGGAGCCCAGCAGGTACGGGGCCCTGGCAGCTGGGCCCACGTCCATCTGCTGCTGGTCAGCAAAGCGGGCTGGGCGGGGATGGCTGCCTCGGTCGCCATGGTAACCCCTCATGGCCTCAGCAAAGGCTCTTCATAGTGTTGGGGGCCAGGCCCCAGGAACCTCCTGGGAAAATAGGGAAAAAAGGGATTTGGACTGAACAACAGGCCACTTTACCTAAAATCATCTTTCAGTGGGCATTTTCATATACATATCAATTTATTGTAATTAATTGTAGTATCTTTCCACAAATGGACTGAAAGGTCCTTAAAACAATCATAATAGACAAAGACGCAAAGGCAGAGAATAATCCCATCATTCATCAAATGCTGCAAATTTGATAAATACTTATTCACAAGAGGGAATGCTCTCAGCCAAATGTGGTTTTAAATAACCTTAGATTATAAAAAACAAAAGGACATCCAAACAGACATACAAAGTATTCAAAGAAACTATTCGTTCGGTGAACTAGCTTTTAACAAGCAAGGTTTAGGCAAATTGATCCAGAGACACCCAACCTTACCCAACACCACCTCTGCTGCAGGTGCCAGGCTTAGGGTCACAGCTCCCAGCCCTGCAACCAAAGAGAACACTGGGCCCAAAACTAGATATCTAACACCATTCTGCAGAAAAAACCCTCTCCCTCTTTTTATACCCTGTTTTTTCCATCGGGCTGCAAGCTCTTTCTCTCTCTCTCTTCAGGACTGAGATAGGAAGGAAAACCTGAGATATCTCCTCTTCTTTCCTTTACTGGGTTCCAAATATTCCCCCAATGAAATTTCCCTTTTCTTTTATACCCCCCTTTTGTAGTCCCTTTCCACTGGAGTGGAGTCATGGAGGAAGAAAAGCCATATAGGAGGAACACTGGTTATACAAGGCAACATCTGAATCCCAAACTGGGACTGTAAGCCCAGAGTTCCTTTTCCCAGGAACAGTGAGCTGGTAAGTAGTGAGATGATGGAGAAGAAGCTCTGGAACTAATACCCCTGCCCCCATCCTGGGCTTGCCAAGGCTATAGGACGGAGAGGTCAGCTCTCAGCAAGAGCTGCCTCCAATCACTGCTCCAGGAGCTGCCAGGACAGGAGCTACAGCAGGAGGGGGTGACAGCAGGAAGGACAGGGACAGAGGAGCTGGCAGACGGAGCCCTCCCTCATCCCAGACCAGCTCCTGGGCCATCTGCTGACTAGGAAGGGATGACAGCCTCAAAGACGCCAGACAGCAGAACCTCTGAGACTCAAACTCCCTTCCTCCAGGCATGGCCTCCCCACACCCACCCTGTTTGAGGCTTCTTCCACATGCTGCCCAGAGCTCATCTCCTCCTCTTTCCCACAGATTTACTATGTACCCAGGTACTGTGCATACCTAACAGTCTCCATTCCCACCAAAATCCTGTAATGTAAATATTATCCACACTTACCATGAGAAAATGGAGCTCAAAATGGTGGAGTCACAAAGCTAGTAAGTGAGTGAGTCCCTTCAAATCAAGATTCAAACCCAAGTTATTCAGATTCGAGAACCTGAATCTAATCCCCATTTCTTAGACTTTCCTACCACTCACCATCTGGGATGTCCCATCTTTGATGTCAGGATCCCTACCACCAGGCAGAATCCTAACTTCAGAAGGCTCAGGACCACTGGCTCCTGGCACGAAAAAAAAAAAAAAAAAAAAAAGG